TAAATAAATAAATAAATAAATAAATAATAAAAAAAATAAAAATAAAAGGAAGGGATTTGTGCTATGGAAAATAGTCTGAGAATTCTACCGAAATTCTCACATGATCTAGCAACTCCAGTTTCACAGGAAGGCCCAAAGTATACAGAAGCTCACCATCAAGCCTACAACCTGAGTTCAGTCCCCCCAGGACCCACACAGTGGCAGGAAGGAACCCACAAGTTGTCTGTCCTCTGGCATCCACATTCACCCTACAGCATGCATTTGCACACATGTACACATGCACACACAAATGTAATTTTTAAAAAGGAATTAAAAGCAAGGATTCAGATACTTATATACCAATGTTCTGTGAGCACTCTACATGATAACAACAACAAAAAATGAAACAGTCACCTTGAGGAACCAACGGATAAAATGTATTCTATGCTTCCAGTGGGATGTGGCCTAGCTGTAAAAAGGAAGGAAATTCTCACACATGTTATATATACTATGGATGGCTTGTGAGGGCATTATGCTAAATGAAACAAAGCTAGTTGCGGGCAAATACTGAACTATTCTGCTTGTAAACATTAGTTAGTTCTTAAAAAATCAGCAGAAAGTAAAATCTGGTTGCCAGGGGCCACAGGGAGAAAGGAGTGAGGATCTGTTTGACTCAGTGCTGGCAGTCGGTGTGGCTACACACTGGGAACGAACCTGATGCCACCGAATTGAACATTTTCAGTGTTTAAGACGACTGCATTTAAGGAGTGAAAAAAAAAATCTGTACTTTACTTAAATGAAAGTTTTTTAAAAAAGACAAGTTGTTCAGTGGTATCAAGATCTATTAGATACTCCAAAACAAGCCAATGCGAAGCCTTCTCCATGATCCTATGTGGTCATCTTTCGGCAGAGTGGTTGTATAAACGAAGCGCAGACGTTCAAGTCCATGATAGAGGAAAACAAGGACCTCCCACTGGATGACGTCTGGGGACCTCAGGTAAGAAAAGAACTGAATTTGGCATTTGTGATTAACAAAGCTTGATGGAAACACTTCGGATCTAAATTGCTTAGGTAAGTCAAATACTACTTTTCAATTATTTCAAAATTTCTTGTCTGTAATTTGATTTTTTTCTGTGCATTCTTTAGTACAAATTTAATATCCACTGCTGAAAATCTGCATTTGCGTGTTATCAAAAGACCACTATACATAAAAGTATGGAGACTGAGCCTTTGAAAAGACTAGTTGTCTTGAGGGGCTGGGGAGATGGCACATGGTTAAGAGTACACAGTGCTCCTACAGAGTAGAAGAGGTCCGTTCCCAGCACCATATTTGGAGGCTCCAAAATGCCTGTAACCCAAGGTCTACAGGGACATGGTATCTCTGGCCTCCACAGGCACATACACACGCGCACACACACCTGCACATGTACATGCACACACACACACACACACACTTCAAAAAATAATAATAAACATAAATGTTTTAAGAAGAAAAATAAGACGACCTATTTATTTCTTTATTTAAAAATGAAGTGGTCTGTGAGCTCTCCCGTGGCCATGACTCCCCTGAGAGCCTTCGTCTCTTCCCTGCTTTTCTCCAGTATTATGAACGTTGATGACTATCTGACACGTTATGCAGCCCAGTTTAAAAGTCTTATTACCGAGCTGACCAACTACAGTGTAAATCCTAAGGGCTGGAGAGATGGCTTGGCAGTAGGAGTACGTACCCCTCTTGCAGGAGACCTGAGTTCTGTTCCCAGAACCCACGTCAGATGGCTCCTATAAAGTTCAAGGCCTTTAACTTCAGCTTTAGGGGATCCGGTGCCCTCTTCTGGCCTCCAGTCATACAGAGACACATGTAATTCAAGCGAAAAAATAAATCTTAACCAAAAGCAAAAATAAAATAAAATGCAAGTTCCACGAGAGAAGGGAATTTGGTTCTTCCACCCACTCTATATTCACAGTCCCTAACTCACTGTAGATAATTAATATGAATTTATAGAACTAATGAATAGTTAATGTATTACTACATTATGTATTTATAGAACTAATTAATAAGCTATAGCTCATCCACCCCTACTAAGGAATGTTTATTACTTCAAATCATGAGGAATTAAAATAATAATGGATTCAGTTCAAACCAAACTTGCCTTCCTGGTTATTTTTTGTTGTTTTTTAAAAGGCACCCAAGGGTCTGGGGTTGAGCAAAGGTGCAAAGAACACTGTAAGAACACATCTTGCAGAGGGCGTCTCAGTACTCTGAGATGCCTTTCAACAACAATGTTCCCGAGGAAGCAACGGGTAGCTCGGTGGTTAGCAATCATGGAATTTGCCTGAACCAGCAAGAAATAGTCTGGTGGTTCTCAAGCTTCAGCAGACATCAGGAATGATCCTCTGGGAGGCTTGTTGAAATAGATAACTTGATCTCACCTGAGTTTCTGAGTCAGTAGACCTGAAGTATGGCCCCAAATTTTGCCCCTCCCCCTCCTCCTCTGGCTCCACCCTACCCTCTTGCCTTCCCTTTCTTTCTCTTCCCAACACTGGAGATTAAACCTGGGGCCTTGTGTGAGCTATGCAAGTGTCTGAGCGACAATCCAGCCCCTAAACTTGCATTTCTAAAAGTCCCAGATGAAGCTGGCATTGCTGATCTAGGGACTATGCCTGGGACACCACTGAAATAGTTTACAACCTGCAAAGATTCCCGAGGGAACATGTCCGGCTCTCCGTCTCCAGAGCTCATCATGAGCAGCATGAACCCAGCTACAATCTGGGTAGTGTGGAAAGCTGGTTCTTAATGATTCTAACTAAACCCTGGGAAATAAGGCAGCTCCTACTGCAGGGCATCACAACATATTAACTCATCCTTGCAACCAGGGACCCTATCTTCCTGGATCATATAGCTATAGTGAGACAGAGAACCTCCAATTCTCAGAACTGCACTGATCGCTGTCTGCCCTTTCTGCTTCTGAGAGGATGAGTGGCATATTTATCTGAGGAGTTGGAGTCCAACTTTTTTTGTCAGGACCATTGGATCCCCAGTAATGTCCTGGAGACTTATTATTAATTATGAAACCTTGGCCCATAGCTTAGGCTTGCTTCTAACTAGCTCTTATAACTTAAATTCACCCATTATTAATTTACTTTCTGCCTCGCGGCTTTATTACCTCATCTCCATAGTGCCCATCCTGCCCACTCTGCATCTCCACTGTCTCTCTCACATGCCCAGATTCCTCCTCCTACTTCCTCTATCTCTACCGGGAAGTCCCACCTATACCTCCTGTTTAGCTGTTGACCATTAGCTTTTTATTAAACCAGTCACAGTGACACATCTTCGCACAGTGTAAAGGAGTACCCCACAACAAAAAGTAGCTCTAGGAACTGTAAGTTCTCAGAGAAAAACATCTGAAAGACTCACAAGCAAAAGTGACATTTCTGTAAGTCTTTGAGTCCGTGTTGGAATAGATTGGAACAGCACCGTCTGCAGGGCTGACTGCTTTTCTGTGATACAGGATGGGGTCTGAATCTCTGAACATGACTGAGAAGTCCTTGGCTACAAATGGAGTGAATTTGTGAGTCTAGGGGAGATTTGCTTTTTCAGACACCAAATAGCTTGACCAAGTGGTGGCTTACAAATGAAAAGGGAGGGGGCAGGGGGAGTCCAGCAATGACAGCAAGCATCAAATGTGGCACAGAAAGAGGAGCATTCGTTGGTAAGTATCATCCTTTGTATTAAGAAATAACGAAGTGGGGGCTGGAGAGACGACTCAGAGATCAAGAGCACTGGCTGCTCTTCCGGAGGTCCTGAGCTCAATTCCCAGCACCCACATGGTGGCTCACAGCCATCTGTAATGAGATCTGGCGCCCTCTTCTGGCCTGCAGGCAGACATGCAGACAGAACACTGTATACATAATAAATTTTAAAAATGCACTCAATGATGTAAACGGGTCCTGGTAACCAAGGCCCCTTCGTGATGATGAGCAGATAGATGCCCAGTTCTTACACATAGTGCAAATGTCTCATATTCTTTTAATCAAGTTTGTGGCTCAATTCATTTACCAACTCAGTAGACAAGAATTCCCAGAGTCCAGAAAATACTTTGTATTTCCTTCCTTCCTTCCTTCCTTCCTTCCTTCCTTCCTTCCTTCCTTCCTTTCTTTCTTTCTTTCTTTCTTTCTTTCGTCCTTTGGGACAGGGTCGCTCTACATATCCCTGGCTATCTGAGAACCCACTCTGTAGACCAGACTGAACTCAGACTCAGAGATCCACCTGCCTCTGCCTCTCCAGTGCTGGGATTAAAGCATGTGCCAACATGCCCAGCATATTTTGCATTTTCAAGTTAGTTTACATAAAAAACTATGAACCTTTCATTTGTTCTTCACTCATATATACCCCACACACTGTTTTATAAATGTGCCAGACCTGCAGTGACAGAAAGGTAAACAGAGGTGAGAAATGGTAGAAGATATGGATTTTACTACTAGTTTTGCCTTTCATCATGATGAATAGTTATAATTCGTTAGATTGAACACATATGCATCATGTGAAATTGTAGCAGAATTCACCTCCAATACCTAGTATATTGAAGATAGATTATACTCATGGTAGCACTGCCTCGAAATGTAGGGGCAATAAAGAAACCAAGAAATAAAAACCCTCAGATAAATCAAGTGCTATTTATTCAACAACTGTAAGTAGAATTTGGCTGCCATAAGCGTCCATGATATGGAAATAAGTATATGATCCAGGATAGATGGAAGTATAAACTTCCAGACCCAAATAAACTTGCCAGGTGGTACAGTTGTGGGTAACAGTCATTCAAAGTGGGTGAAATCCCATCCATTCCTGGAGGAGCCAGTGGTCTCACTCTATGGGCAATCCTACCTGTATAGGATTAGACCCGCCCTGCACATGGGCTGAGCTGGACCTCTGCCTTGATATTATAGCTATATCCATAGCAAACATAGCCTTTACCCCTGCTGAAAAACTAACCCTCATCTGTGTCCAGGGAGGCTCCTGGTCCCACACTCCTACTTGACATCCTGGTCTTTCACCAAACTAAGGATATCTTGGTCGATGTGAGACATCCCTTCAGAAGGTCCCCTGGGCCATGAGTGAGGGCTCGTAGGGGATGTTCAAGGCACTCTCTGGTACTGCAATGGCAGAATAGAAAGGGGCAGCCATTGCATCTCTTAGTGGTTTTCCAAGATAAAGATATAAGAATCTGGGCTGGAGGGAAAGAGGAGTGGATAGGAGCACCAGTCGCTCTTGCAGAGGACCTGGTTTTGGTTCCCAGCATCCACAAGGCAGCTCACAAGCACCTGTAACTCCAGTTTCTGGGGTGCTGATTCTCTCTTCTGAACTACACAGGTAGTGCGTGTATATGCAGGCAAAGTACTCATTCACATAAAATTAAAATACATAAATCTCACACGTATGAATCGGATTTTGTTAAAGTCAGAAAGTAACTTCTTTTTTTTTATCTTTGCTTCTTGCTCAGAACTATAAGACTTGTTTTTCTTATGCTGTTGGGAAGCCGGGAGACCTAAACCAACCGTATGAGATTTTAAACCATTCTAATAAAAACCATTTACTATGGCCCATGGACCATTCCGGAATGTATGTGTTTCGTGTGAGAATCTTGGATCCAAATTTTAGGTGAGAATAAATCTTTTTATGACACTTTTCCCTTAAGTTTAGTGGTTTTTTTTAATTTCGTTTTTGTCTTTGTTTAATTTGATGCCAACTAAACATCTAATTTGTTATCCTTATTATTTATTTGCTTGCTTTTCATTTTGTAGTAATCATAGCAAATACTCTAAGGAAGCAGGAGGTATCACATCAACTGTTAATTGGATCACTTGGTTTAAAATTCCGTTCTGGTATTATGTCCCCTTACCACATGTATTTGTTATTTTTCCTGCTGACATGACCAAACACCGAACAAGAAGCACATAAAAGAGGAAGGATGCATTTTGGTTCAAAGTTTGAGAGTGAAATCTATCCTGGCAATAACGGCACAGCAGCCCAAGAGTGAGGCAGCTGGTCGACAGCCACAGACAGGAAGCACAGAGCAACAGATGTTGGGCTCAACTCTCTTTTCCCATGGACCCCGGCCTATGCAATTGTGCCAGCCACGTTTAATATGGGTCTTCCTCAGTCAGGCATTTCTGGAAACATCCTCCTAGATATTCCCATAGGTGTGTTTCCATGGTGATTCTAAATCCAGTCAGGCTGATGATGAAGATTAACCATCACACGTAGCATGTGCAAGGTCCTGGGTTCCATCCTAGCACTGTAAGAAAACAGAGCAAATGGAAACCCATGTGCTTAGCCCTGGGAGACAGATTCATACAATACCAAGTGGACCGTATCAAGCAGTAATAATTGAGTGCGAGTGTAGCAATTGGCACTATTTTTTTTGAGCTCTGTGGGCTTTTCTGTTTCAAGATGAGAGGTGCAGAAGTTTGACACCGTGAAACATCACAGTGTGCTTCTTCCCTCCCATCACCTGGCATACAAACACTCCTCACCCCTTCTTCTTCACAACGATCTGTCTCTTGGTACACTAATAAGTTCATTGATGACTGGCAGCACTTAGGTAGTTTCAGATGCAAGCTGATTAGTGGAAAGACCAAAGAATAATTAAGAGAATTATGATTTTTTTTCAGTCCTACACCCATAAGCCTCCAGTGTATTTCCAAGGAGGCTGGGAGTTCCTAAGAAGATCAACAGAGAGGATTTCCTTCAGAAGTTCTGAGTGCTGCATATTTCTCTCCCGCACACAGGGATGAAAATGCTTCCTCCCAAGCAAGGGAACACCTAAGAGAACCATTCCAGTTCAGAGGCAGCCTAAACAGCGCACTGGGGTGGCTACAGAGTGATGTGATAACAGAAGGAGGCTCTTTCCAATGCCAGGAGAAAACGTGGACACCTTCTGGTGGCTTCCCTTACGTCCCCCCTGAAAGGAAGCTAGACGTTGTCAGGATAGCAGTCCTAGCCTGGCACCCCAGCTACTCAGGGCACTGAGTCCACTAGATCTTCTTGATCCCACGAGTTCAAGACCAGTCTGGACAAAAGTCTAACAAATAAATATATCAATTAATGAGGAAACTAGGCTTGAGTTATGATACTAAAAACCACCCTGGGTGAGAGAATCTCAAAAGAGAGTATGTGTGAAACTAGCCAGGGATCCAGAACTTGAGAAATGGTTGGTAAGCGATCAAATAGAGAAAGTATTGCCTAAATCCTGAAAGGTCATGGGAAACCTGCGCTGAGATGGAGTGTGTAACACACCCAGTCCATCTTCTGGGTGCTGAGAGCTAATATTGGGGCACTTAGTACATGAGACTCTCAGCCATGAAAATGGTCACATAAATTTTTTTTAACGTATTTTCATTCCCTTTTAATAATTTCACACATGCATCCAATGGATTTTGATCGTATTTGCCCCTCACTCCTCCCTCTAACTCCTCCTCCCAGATCCAGCTCCCGCCTACCCCAGGTCACGTCCTTTTTATTCTTAATTGGCCCACTGATTCTAGTTTGTGCTGCCTGCATACTCATGGGCGTGGGGCTCTCCACTGGACTACAGTTAACCTACCGGGGCCATACCATTAGAGAGAACTGGCTCCCCTCCCCTCAATAGCTATCACCTGTCAATGGCTCCTCATCTAGGGATGGGGGCCATGACCTGCTTCTCTCCGCATACTGAAATGTTGACTCATTTGATCGTGTCCAGCTCTTATACAAGCAACCACAGCTGCTGAGTTCCTGGGTGCAGAGCCTGTTACATCCACAAGACACTCTTTGACCAGGGGACTCCTGTCCTTTGACCCACCTCCTCCTCAACAGTCCCTGGATGTGGCGGGAAGGAGTGTGATATAGATGTCCTATTTGTGACGGAGTACCCCAAACACCCTGAAAAGTAATCTCTGCACTTTGACCAGTAATAAGTCTCTCTATTAACTGCCATCCACTGCACAAAGAAATGTCTCTGATCGGGTCTGAGGGCTGCACTAATCTATGGCATAGATACGCAAATTCAGCAGGCAATGGGTACTATGTCCATTTAGCAAATAGTAATGAGTTCACCCCTGGGTCCTATGAGCTCCCCAACCTTGGGTTCTTGGCCAGATTTACAGCGCCAGTCAGCATTTCCTCTCGTGGCATAAGCCCAAAGCTACTAAGGGATCATTAATGAAGGGCGGAAGTGCAATCTTAATGAAGGGATCATTAGTGGGGGGGGAAGTGCGATCTTAATGAAGGGATCATTAGTGGGGGGGAAGTGTGATCTTAATGAAGGGATCATTAGTGGGGGGGAAGTGCGATCTTAATGAAGGGACCATTAGTAGGGGGGGAGTGTGATCTTAATGAAGGGATCATTAGTAGGGGGGGAGTGTGATCTTAATGAAGGGATCGTTAGTGGGGGGAGTGTGATCTTAATGAAGGGATCGTTAGTGGGGGGAGTGTGATCTTAATGAAGGGATCATTAGTGAGGGGGGAGTAGGATCTTAATGAAGGGATCATTAGTGGGGGGAGTGCGATCTTAATGAAGGGATCATTAGTGGGGGGGAGTAGGATCTTAATGAAGGGATCATTAGTGGGGGGTGTGATCTTATTAATGAAATCATTAGTGAGGGGGGAGTGTGATCTTAATGAAGGGATCATTAGTGAGGGGGGAGTGTGATCTTAATGAAGGAATCATTAGTGGGGGGAGTGCGATCTTAATAAAGGGATCATGGGGGGGTTGTGTGATCTTAATGAAGGGATCATTAGTGAGGGGGGAGTGTGATCTTAATGAAGGAATCATTAGTGAGGGGGGAGTGCAATCTTAATGAAGGAGGATAGTAGAGCAGAACCCGGTGATACAAAGGGAGGAAGAAGAAGGAGTTGTAAGTGGAGCATGGCATAGAAGGGTAGGGCCCAGGATGAAGTGGGGAAAGCAATAACTAACACTAGGGGTGTTTGAAATGGCCATATAGAAACCTACTATCTTAAAAGCTTCACGCACGCACGCACGCACGCACGCACGCACGCACACGGGTTTAACTGGAGTTGCCCTACTCAAGGTATAATGCTCCTTCCAGTAGCCATAGGTTTCCAAATATAAAGTCCGGTGCTAAGTGTGGAACACCTCTCCTTGAGTTGTTGGTCAGGTGTAGCTGGAGAGTTTCTCCAGTCCTGCCTGGCCCACGGTCAGGACAAATCTCTCTCACCCGCCAGTCCCGCAGCCACTCAGACCCAACCAAGTAAACACACAGAGACTTATATTACTTATAAACTGTATGGCCGTGGCAGGCTTCTTATATCTTAAATTAGCCCATTTCTATTAATCTGTAAGTTGCCACGTGGCTTGTGGCTTACCGGTATCTTAACATCTGCTCCTCATCATGGCAGCGGGCAGCATCTCTCTGTCTCAGCCTTCCTGTTCCCAGAATTCTTCTCTCTGTTAGTCCCGCCTATACTTCCTGCCTAGCTACTGGCCAATCAGGATTTTATGTATTAACCAATCAGAGCAACACATTTAACATACAGAACATCCCACAGCAGTCAAGGATGTCCTAGAGACCCCAAATGAATACAACCTATTCCCATTGTTTTTGTCGCCCAGAAGAACTGGATAGTTAGAGGCTCAAGCTGAAGACACCACACACTTTGGCGACAAGACACAGAAATCAAATTGGTACTGACCAGGAAGCTCCCTCCCTGTTGGGTGATTTTCATATTGCTGGAAGGTGCTATACAGGCTGCTTGTGGGAAAGACAGCCTAAGCCAACTGTGAACCCGTGAGACACAGCAACAACTAGTGTGGCAAGATTTGCCCATGGGTGGGACGATGGTGGCATGAATGTCACAGCGGTGAGCTACATAAAATGTTGATCTTCTGTTCCTGCGTGCTCCCAGCCCTGGAAGTTTGAAAACAGAAAGTAGGAAAATAAGCTTAGTGATATAAAAGAGAATGACAGACAGGCTGACAAACAGAAGGATTAGATTGGCCAACCTAGATCTGTAAACGGTAGAGCCCTAGGAGAAGGTGTTGAGGATACGTATCAGTCCTAACTCCGGATGAAAAGGAAAATGAAACACTTCCCTAAGACTTCTAACAAATATACCCTCCTTCGATTTGAGCCCGGATTTAGGTTAGCTGAGTGTTCACCGGAGATAGCACTATAGCTGAAATATCATTTGAAACAGTCCCAGTCTGTTTATGCCTGCCTCGTGCTCAGTGCTCGGCAGGAACAAATACCCCCTCTGGAAGAATTCACTTTAAATGTAAACACCCAAGAAATCCAGAAGGAAACACTCTAACAAATAAATCACACAGGGAAAGAAGAAACCACAGACAAGAACAGACATGGGTCAGTAGAAACAACCACCTATAAAACCAACGCACCCAGCCTGTTAGATATAAGGCACAAAATACGAATGCTTGTGTCTTAGTCAGTGTTCTATTGCTGTGAAGAGATACCTGACCATGGCAACTCTTATAAAGGAAAGTTGTTTTGGTTGTTTTTACTCTTTTGGGGGAGCCTGCCACCCAGTTCCCAAATAAATCACACATAGAGGCTATTTTTACTATAAATGCCTGGCCTTAGCTTGGCTTGTTTCTAGCCAGCTTTTCTTTTTTTTTTTTTTTTTTTTTGGTTTTTTTATTA